TGAATCCCTCACAGTGCAAAATTTAACATACAACTTTATTTTTTTTAAAGGAAGAATGTTATATTCCTCTCTTTTAGACTATTTAAAAAATTGGACACCAAATACCTATGCATCTTGGTGGTTCTGTCCATTCTTTGTTCACACACTTTATTGTAAAAGGTCCAAAAAGGCTGAATCTTTGGCGACAGCGATAGCGCACCTTCTCAAGAGGCAAGTACCTTTGCTTGAGATCAGTCGTAATCTGACCATTAGAAACCCGGGGTGGGGGAGGGCATGTTACATCTGAAATGATAGATAAAACTTTCAATCCTTGAAAATGCATTCTATTCCCACAAAACAGCACCTACCAGTTTGTTCCAACATTCTGAGACTGGACAAAAGATGTCATAAGAGAGGATACTGTCCTAACTGTGAGAATTGCTGGTCTCCAACCCCCATCGAGGGTATAGGCTCCTATCTACCCAGCTGTAACCATAAACACATGGACTTAGGAAAGAGCCCTGTTTGATGCAGAATAAACCTGCACTGGAGGAAGCTGAGAAAAGAGCACATGCTTGTGGGGTTGCAACCTCAAGCCATGAGCCTGCTATTTGCAACCCCAGTGCTGTCATTCTTAGCTATAAAAGTTAGAGGTCAAAAGTGTGTGCTTTTTGTTATGTATTCAGTGGTCTGCATTTGCCTGAGCTTGAGTCTGGACTAAGAATTCTGAGCCCCTATGTTCTGATTCGATACATGATATCCAATCACAGAACATTTCAGGATTTGGGCCACTGCCATTGGCCCTTAAACTCTGAGTCATAATTCACAGCTTGGAAATTTAGGCAGCCAATCACGTGGGAGTGGGAGTGACCCAGGCCTTCAGAAATGTACATAAGCAGTTCCTTTGCCCCTGTTGTCCAGTTCCGTTAGTTCAATAAAGGTTCTTGTTGTTATCACTGTGTCTTCCCTCGTGGGAAACCACCTACACTACACTTTTGTAAATGAGTCCAGGAAGAAAAGTCCCTGAAAATGGCAGCTGTATTGGGTCATTTAAGGGTAAGTCAAGGTGCATATGGCAACTATTCTTCCCTGCCTGCCTGAACACAAAAAGCACTGAGGTGCACCTAGATCAATTTTATCTGTGTCTAGGGATCTTGTGGCCCTCCAGATGTTGTTGGATTCATCTCCCATCATCCCCAGCCAGCAAGGTTGATGGTCAGAGATGATGGGAAGTGCAACAACATCTGGGGGGGCCACAGGTTCCCCATCCCTGGTCCATATGGACTGGTAGAGGCTCTCCAGGAGTTCAGGCAGGGGTTTGTCCTAGCCTCCACCTGGAGATGCCAGGGATTGAACATGACGCATTGTGCATAGAAAATCCGTCTTTGATCCCTGCTAGTACATTACAATATTGAAATTCTCCTATACAATTCAAGTCTTCTTTGAGCCCAAAATGCACAGTCTGAGAGGCAGTTTCCATACTCTATCGCTGCCCTTCCCCATCTGAGACTGACTAGAAAGAGGCATGTCTTAACACTGGGATACCATTCTATCATGCAGTATTTCCTAGTGCAGAGGCAGAATTGCCAGCCTTCAGAGGAGGGCACACGGAAAACAGGGACTCACACAGGTGGATAATTCTCCTTGTTAGGACTTTAAAAATAAACTTATTTGGCTGTAACAGTAAAGCATGCCTCCAGTTTTAATTCAGAAATAAAATATCTGCCTTGGCCACCAGACATTTTGTAATCTCTTTCCAGTTTTTTCCACTTCCTTTTTCACATTTATGTTTAGCACACAGAAGGAAGATCAGGAACCCAGTATACCTGAAGGAGTGTCTCCACACCCATCGTTCTGCTCGGACACTGAGGTCCAGCTCCGAGGGCCTTGTGGCAATTCCCTCCCTGCAAGATGTGAGGTTACAGGGAACCAGGCCAAGGGCCTTCTCAGTGGTGGCACCCGCCCTGTGGAATGCCCTCCCATCAGATGTCAAGGAAATAAACAGCTATCTGAGATTTAGAAGGCATCTGAAGACAGCCCTGTTTAGGGAAGTTTTTAAGGATTGATGCTTTTATTTTGTTTTTAGATATCTTGTAAGCCGCCCAGAGTAGCTGGGGAAATCCAGCCAGATAGGTGAGGTATAAATAATAAAAAATATCATCATGATCATCACCTGCAATGCCAGGTCTTACCTACACATGTCGGTGGTTGTGACCACTCTTTATTTTGACATGTTACATTAGGCGATCCAGAGATTTCAAAACCTTCATGGCACTGATAATGCACCTCGTGGTCAGGCAAATAGACCTCTGCTGTCCCCGCCACAATATCAGCACTGGCAACTGCAGGGGGCTCTCCGCAGGTTGCATCTAAATGGGGAGAGGAAACCAACAAATAAGCTTTTCCTCCACAAATTGTGCTTTCTGCATAATAGATAATCATCATTCTTTTTAAAAAAGAATACCATAACCTAATGTGAACAAACACAAAGAGTGCAAGAGCTTAATGCAAGCAAACCTTGCTTACAGACAGAGTCGTCAACTTTTCAAAAGCATTGCAGATGCCCCATGCAACGCCCTGGTGTCACATGTGCAACATCACAGAGAGCTGAGCGGTGGAGCCAAATGCGGCTGCAACATGGCCCCAGCAGCAGGTGGACCCCGTCCTCCCCAGCCAGCTGCCGTGCAAGGGAAAGACGTAAAGGACCCCCGTTAGGTCCAGTCGGGGTTGCGGTGCTCATCTCGCTTTACTGGCCGAGGGAGCCAGAGTACAGCTTCCGGGTCATGTGGCCAGCATGACTAAGCTGCTTCTGGCGAACCAGAGAAGTGCACAAAAGTACTGTTTACCTTCCGGCTGGAGCAATACCTATTTATCTACTTGCACTTTGATGTGCTTTCGAACTGCTAGGTTGGCAGGAGCAGGGACTGAGCAACGGGAGCTCACCCTGTCGTGGGGATTCAAACCGCTGACCTTCCGATCGGCCAGCCCTAGGCTCAGTGGTTTAACCCACAGTGCCACCCGTGTCCCTGTGCAAGGGAAAGAAGTCACCCCCAAATGTCTCGGCCCCTATGTTTACAGATCATGGTTAAGGAGGACCAAGCTTACCTGCAATCCTGCTGTCCAATGCTTAACTAAAGCCAAACCTTGGTTTAACTACCACACCTGCATGCAAAGACGAACAGTGGGTCCAACAGTTAAGAAGGCAGTTTCTGCAAATGCTATGAGGGGCAGATGGGGCTCACCAACTAGGTAGCCCATTAGGAGAAGGAAAGCTCTGATCCTGAACCTTCACTGATTCTTGCCTGATCGAGCACACTACAGTGGTACCTTGATTTAAAAACAGCTCAGTTTATGAACAAATTGGAAATAGAATGCTGCAAACCTGGAAGTAGGTGTTTTGGTTTATGAACTTTGCCTTGGAAGCTGAACATGTTCCGCTTCCTGTTGAGTGTGTTCTGTTTGTAAATTGAGTCCCCCGCTGCTAATCAGAGGCTTCCTGTTGAGTCCCGAGCACCCACACAATACAGAGGTGACATCTGGAGCTTTTGTTTTTGCTATATTTCTGCGTTTTTGTTTATGTGGCTTTTACATTTTTTTTGACTGTGACTTGTTCTTCGTTTTATGGGACTGACTTGTGACTGTGGCTTGTGACTTTGTTTTTGTGACTGTGGCTGGTGCCTTCATTTTTGTGACTGTGTGGAACCCAGTACAGCTACTGGTTGATTGTGTGACTGCAGAAATGGATAAAAGCCCCCCATCCAAACAATGACTATCATCAGTGTGTGTAAGGAATTATTTTTTAAAAAAATTATCATCTACAATACTGTCTTATTTATTTTATAGTACAGTACATTGATTATTGCCTTCATTTTATGGATCAATGGTCTTGTTAGATAGTAAAATTCATGTTAAATTGCTGTTTTAGGGGTTGTTTTTCGTTGTCTGGAACGGATTAATCCATTTTCCCATTACATTCTATGGGAAAGCACGCCTTGGTTTAAGAACACTTTGGTTTAAGAACGGACTTCCAGAACGGATTAAGTTTGTAAACCGATGTAGCACTGTATTGCCAAAGCTGATCAGCAGAACTCTCCAAGGTATCACCAGAGTTCATTCCAAGCCTTTCTACCCCAGATCATTTTAACTGGAGATGTAAAGGATTTAAGCAGAATCACATTTCTGAGCCTAAACATCTAGAGAGATGAACTTGCTTGTTCACTATGCCCCTTGCTGTTCAAACCAGTGCTTGAATTGCTCTGTTCCCAGAAGCAAACTACCTTTAGAATTGTTACCCAGGCAAAACATGCAACATACCTTCACAGGTTGAAGCTTCCGACCACTTTCCTTTGTGGCATGTAATATTCCGTGGTCCTTCTGTAGCATAACCTGGTGCACAGCTGAAAGGTATCAGGTCCCCAGGCTCATAGCGATTTTTTATTAATCCTTCATATGCAGCATCATCGAGTTTGGGGGGATCCCCACATGACTTTTCTGAGAAGATAATACAAATGAAAATATGATTCTCAAAAAATGTCACCACACCTGTGTCTGGATTTCCCAACTAAAATACTGAACAAAGCTGCATTTCAAAGGCTGAAGGGAGTTGTGTGTGGTTGGTTGTCCCCCCCCCCCCAAGAGTGATATATGAAGGCAGCCAGAAAGTGGGGAGAGGGATCAGTAATCAGAGAAATTCACAATGGGTTAAATGTTGAAGAACATAAATATTACTGGGAAAGAAAACAGATGGTTTAGTACCGTAATTTAATATGTCTGCTATGGCCAATCTACAGAATTTAGATACATGTTTAAGTCTGGCCAGGTCCTTAGTCCAGTGGTTTTCAAACTTTTATACCACCTTCCTAATTGCCTGCTCTCGAGTTTCAATTTGACTCCCAAAGAAATCCTAAATATTGAGGGATTCTGGAGTCACAACCTAAAGCACACTCTCAGTTTAAGCAGGACAGGGGCTATACCCAGTGCTTTTTTTCCTGGGGTACGCATACTCCTAAACATTTTGTGAATCTTTGCACTTTTGTCCATTTACTCTGTTCCCCCCAATTTGAACTATAAAATGGTGATTTTCTTGAGTCAAAATGAGAGTACCCCTAAACATTTTCTTAGAAAATAAGCACTGGCTGTATCTGTTGAGTTTTGCCACTGCCCCACATAATCTTACAGTAGAGCCCATAATACACATTATGCCTTTTGCTGCTGTGCATTACAGGGGAAAACCAGTAAATGTGGATCAGGTTCTATCGATCAAGTTTTCTTTCACAGACGCTTGTCTGTTCTGACTAGGGATGGTAAGCCAGTAAACCAGTGTCTCACTGAGAAGCCCCTGAAAAGTTTCTGAAACATTCAAGTGCTGCCCAAAACCAAAAGCAAGGTCATGGTTGAAATATTAAAGCAACAAAATGTTAGACTGCAAGTTGAATTACCCTGCAAGAGGGAGAATATTTCAAAACTCTGAATGTTTGCTGGTTGGCAGGACACTTCAAGTGAGGCAGTGTCACAATATCCATAGGTTTGGAAAAATGTCTTCCATGCATAGTCTTGATGGAATAAGACTGAAGTCTCATTGAAAGCTCTTCATTAGATATATAGTTACCCTCCACTTTTGAATGGAAGCTGAGGTCCAGCTCTGAGGGTCTAGGAAATAAACAACTATCTGACTTTTAGAAGACATCTGAACGCAGCTCTGTTTAGGGAAGTTTTTAATGTTTGATGTTTTATCGTGTTTTTAATATTCCATTGAGAGCCGCCCAGAGTGGCTGGGGAAACACAGCCAGATGGGCGGAGTGTAAATAATAAATTATTATTATATCATAAACATATTTTCTTACCTCTGCAAGTTGGCGGTGGGGACCACTCCCTATTTTCGCATGTTGAAGTACTTGATTCCCCAAGTTCAAAACCTTCATGGCAATGATATTCCACACTTTCACCAGGAAGATACTTTCTCTGGGAACTATTATTTACCTCACCATGGGCAATTGCAGGAGGGTCTCCACATCTTGTATCTGGAAAGGGAGTTATATAGCATGCAGTCTTCATGAATACAATTAAATGGCATAAAAACATTTCCAGAGTGTTTCATATGCAGAACTGCTCTCTCCTTTTTCTTCTGGTAGAAAGTTTCAGAGGCAGCCAATTCAAAGTCTGTTTACAAAGTGAGGCAGGGAAGAAAGAAATTTGGAGGCTTATAGTATTGCTTTGATATCTGCTATTTTATTAATATGTGCACTGCAGATTGGAGAGTGGTTAGGTACCTAGACACCCTAAGTAGGTTTACCAAGAAGTTTTTTCCAGTTAAGTGAGTCAGTGGGGGTTATTCTCATAAAAATGCCCTTATGATTTCAGCTACACTTTCCATTCCATAGTTCAGGGGTTGTCAACCTGGTCTCTACCGCCCACTATTAGGCATTTCAGGATTCTAGGTGGGCGGTAGGGGTTTTACGGCACAAACTGAATCCTCCTCCCATCGAGCACTGGTGGGCGGTAAGGGAATTTTACCATCAAGAAAGATGAATTAGTGAGCGGTAGGTATAAAAAGGTTGACTACACCTGCCTTAGTTAATTCAAACCACAGCGGCAAGTCGTAAGACAGCTTGGCTCAGTACCATGCATACTATCTTTCATGGAACGCAGGATTTTATTTTCTCCTTTTATGCCCCATTATAGGTTGCCGAAGAAATATGCAGGGTGCAATGCCATTGTCTTGATAGTTGGAGAATGGAGGAGTTATTTGCAGCCAAGCGGTCTTCTTCAGGCATTCAAGTTCTGTATGCAAAATGAAGGCATGTGTAAGGAGGGGGGTGGCAACTCCCTCCTTCCTCTATGCATGTTCACTGAATGCCTGAACAGACTTTGTCCGCCCGAAACAGCTTCAACCCAGTATACCTGAAGGAGTCTCTTCACCCCACTGAGGTCCTCCTCCAAGGGCCTTCTGGCGGTTCCCTCACTGTGAGAAGTGAGAGTACAGGGAACCAGGCAGAGGGCCTTCTCGGTAGTGGCATCCACACTATGGAAGACCTTCCCATCAGATGTCAAGGAAATAAATAGCTATCTGATTTTTAGAAGACATCTGAAGGCAGCCCTGTTTAGGGAAGTTTTTAATGTTTGATATTTTATCATGTTTTTAATATTCTCTTGGAAGTTGCCTAGAGTGGCTAGGGAAACCCAGCCAGATGGGCAGGGTAAAAATGAGAAATTATTTTTTTTTCTGCCTGGGTATGCAAAGAAGAGTGGGATATACAGTCAATCAATCAATCAATCAATCAATCAATCAGATCACATCATATATTTTGCTTCATCAGCTGTGTAGGGGACAACAGGGGAAGAGTGTAAGACACTTGGTTGCTACTTATGGCATCAGCTGCCATTCGTGTTACATCTAATTCCTGCCATTCTATTGGAGAGAAATTCACCATGGAGCACTATCTCCACCCTTATACCAAAGAAACATATTTATTTATTTTCCTTTCCAATCTCTTCGCAGAGCACTTGGAGATGCTTTGTGGAGCACTGAGTGCTCCATGGAGCACAGTTTGGGAACCACTGATCTATTGAATAAGCACCTTTATTACCTCACGAGTGCATTACTATTTCACAAAAAAAGGTAAAGGACCCCTGGATGGGTTGCGGCGCTCATCTCGCTTTCAGGCCAAGGGAGCCACTGTTTGTCCACAGACAGCTTTCCGGGTCACGTGGCCAACATGATTAAACCGCTTCTGGCACAATGGAACACCGTGACGAAAACCAGAGTGCACGTAAATGCCGTTTACCTTCCCACTGCAGTGGTACCTATTTATCTACTTGCACTGGCGCGCTAGGTTGGCAGGAGCGGGGCAGAGCAACGGGAGCTTACCCCATTGCAGCAAGCCCAAGAGGCTCAGTGGTTTAGACCACAGCAACACCCACATTCTTGGTTTGAAGGTTTGAATCCCCATTATTAAATAAGAACATAAGAAGAGCCTGATGGATCAATGGCCCTTCTAGGCCAGCGTTCTGTTCCTCAAGTGGGCAGCCAAATGTCTGTTGAAGACCCACAAGCCTGATCTGAGTGTAAGAGCAATCTCCCTTCCTGTGATCTGCAGCAACTGGTATACGCAAAGCATAGACATCAATGGCCTTCTCCATGAATTTCTCCAGTCCTCTTTTCAACCCATCTAACTTGGTGGCTATCACTGTCTTCTCTATGAGTAGGTTCCAAAGTTTAACTGTGTCCTTAGAATAATTTGAGAGAGGAATTGCCATTTGGAGGCCACATTGTCATTTATTTATATTTTCTAGTTTCTTTTCTTTTTAAAAAAGTTATGCTTCTTTAGATTATAAATCACACACCACTGCCCTCAATTCTCTGACTTCTTGAAAACAAAAAAGGGAAATATGAAAGGAAGATCATACTAACCTAAACAGCGTGGTGGGGTTTGCCACTTTCCATTGTCACATTTTATTTTTTGTGGCCCTTGAAGAAAGAAGTTCTCCTGACACCTGAAGCTTATCTCCTCACCACTCTTATAGTTTCTCGTATCAGTTATGTCAATGGCATTGGGAAGCTGAGGTGGTGGTGGACAGAATGCTTTAATAAATAAATAAAAGTCCATTAGAATTCAATGATATAAAGTTATGCAAGGAAACTATGAAAAGTGAGCATCTGGTCAAACCTCCTTATCCCTTGAATGGATTCAATGTTGCAATGAGTTAGTTGCATTGGTCTTGAACCAAAGAGCTGCCTGGTAAAACCTGCAAGAGAAGCAGAACTTCTCCAGTTTAGTTCCAGTGAGATCCCCATGTTGCCTCATCAGGCTCTCCAAAACTCAGTGCAGGTGAGGTGTCTGTCTACAGAAGTGTGGAGAGTTGCTGTCGCTCCTGAAATATTTGCATGCTAACCTTCCTCTATTGCAGTGTTTTAACCTGCGTATGGTTCAGTTCAGCTTTGCATGCTTGTGGTATACCAAAAAGGTTCTTGCTGGCAACCTAAATCTGACATGTGAACTTAACCCAGATTTTGCTATTATAAAGCTACCAGAAGGTCACTGTTGAGAAAGTAGCAAGATACGCCACCCAATCCAGTTTTATGTGTTTCTGAATCCTGGGCATCACAGTTGACCTCCAGGGATGGTGCTCTCAGACAGGGATGCAGAAGGGTAAATGTACCCTGTGCCTCTATTTGCAAGAACCAACAGCCTGTAGTGACTGCTTTGCAAGCTGCTAATTCTGTCCTTGGGTCGATTGATTGCCTTTCCCATGTGACAGCAATGCTTCTGCTCCTGAAGTGGATAAACTCATAGGCGCCGACTCCATGGGGCTTGAGGGGGCCCGAGCCCCCTCAAAAATTCGTTTGGGGGGCTCTGCCCCCCCAATAATCTCCGGCGCCCCTCCAGCAGAGCGCCATCGCCGCCCCTCCCCCAGCCCAAAATGCACAGGGAGGGGCGGGCTGCATGCCTCCTGCCCTCCCTCCCGAGCAAAAGCTCCACCCAATTTCCTTTGGAGCTGATTAATAGGCGCAGCACGCTCTCCCCTATTCGCTCACGAGGAGGCGGCGCCACTTTATTTGCATATTCTTAAAGGAAGCTTTATGTGATCTTTCCAAAGGAGCTGAGTCTAGCCTACCCAGGAAGGCACTCCTGAACAGGTCTGTCCCACTCTTGCTTCCAGTGGCCACATCTGTCACTCAAGTTGAGAAACCATGCATTTGTATATAGCATGCAAAACTGTACCTGTGCATTCTGGCTCAGGTGACCATTTTCCATTAACACATTTTGTTTTATGCTGATTGGAACCACAGGTGTAGGTTACAACGTTGTTGTGCATAAACATTTTCTCCAGAGAAGCATATGGTACAAACTCTGCATTCTGTGGACGTCTACATTTTGCTGCAACATCTAACAATTCAAATATTGTTCAAGTAAAGTTGTTTGTTAGCAAATCACAATCAAATGGAGTTAATCAACTAGAAAATCTCACTGGTATTTTTCATGCACATCTATTTTCCAATACGCCTTTCAGTCTTTATTGCAGTCAATCCTTGCAGCAGTTTTGGAGGAGAAACCATAATTATTGCCATTTTTATAGGGCAGCTGAGGTGAAGAAGTAGTAACAGACTTGATTAAGACCACAAAGTATGTCTGTGGCAGAGGTCTCCTGGCAGTAGGTCTAATTTCCTGTCCAATGGATCACACGCATATAATTGCTTATGTTAATAAATGGTAATTAAATATGAAAAGTGTCTATATAAATATGAGTTGCATTTATTTGTAATTTGTAATTTGCTTGACACTCAGCTCTATTTCTCCTTTACATCTCCAGGTGAGGCAGTGGAAGTGTTGGACCAGTGTCTTGCCTTGGTAATGGACTGGATGAGAACCAACAAACTGAAGCTCAATCCAGATAAGACTGAGCTACTGTTAGTGGGTGGTTTCCTAGACCAGATAGGTGGGAGGTCGCCTGCTCTTGATGGGGTTACACTTCCTCTGAAGGAGCAGGTTCGTAGCTTGGGGATACTCCTGGATCCTTTGCCGTCGCTCGAGGCTCAGGTAGCCCAGAGTGCCTTCCATCAGCTTCGGCTGGTGGCCCAGCTACTCCCCTATCTGGACAGGGATAGCCTAACTACTCTTGTTTATGCTCTGGTAACCTCAAGGTTAGATTACGGCAATGCATTATATGTAGGGCTGCCTCTGAAGACAATTTGGAAACATCAGCTGGTGCAGAATTCAGTGGCCAGGCTGGAGCAAGGCTGTTTGAGCATGTTACACTGATCCTGGTCCAACTGCACTAGCTACCAATTAGTTTCCGGGCTCGATTCAAAGTGCTGGTTTTGACCTATAAAGCCTTAAACTGCTCAGGACCACAATACCGCAAGGACCGCCTCTTCCCCTATGAACCTACCCATACCCTGAGATCATCTTCTGAGGCCCTCCTTCATGTGCCTCCTCCTCGAGATGACCAGAGGGTGACAACACGACAATGGGCCTTCTCTGCAGTGGCTCCCTGTCTGTGGAATGCTCTCCCCAGGGAAGTTCGCCTGGCACCTTCATTATACACTGTTAAGGCGCCAGGCAAAAACGTTCCTTTTTAACCAGGCCTTTGGTTGATTTGATTTACCCTTTTAAAATGTTTTTTTTTGGGGGGGGGGCTATTGGCTTGTTGTTTCTGTTTTTATTATGTATTTTGTGGTTTTATATCTTGATTTTATTCTGCGAACTGCCCTGAGACCCCTGGGTGTAGGGCGATATATAAATTCAATAAACAATAATAATAGCTTACCAACACATAATGGTAACTCCCACTGCCCATGCAGACACACAGCTTCTTTAGTTCCAACAATGAAAAATCTTTCATTACATTCATATGCCACAGTTTCGCCATGCAGATATCTATCTGAGTCAACACTGACAGGGTGTCCATTTCTAATATTTGGAGGTACTTCACAAGCTCTGGGTTCCTCTGTTGAAAACAGAAGGAAATGATGTGAAACAAAATATGAGTTCTTCATTTTCTTAAAACTATAATCTCAGTCCCCAGTTGTTTTGGCTGCTCATTCTCTTCAGCCTCTCCTACACGCCAGATAAAAAATGCCAAGGGCAGCTCTTCATTTTTCAGCTCATCAGTATATATTGCAGAAGTAGAATGAAGAGGCAGACTTTGATATTATTATGGCTGGTATGATTTTAACTTCATTTTTAATAACTGAGCATTGATTTGTTGTTATTTTTCTCTGTTCAGTTTTGATCTTATTTCCAGTTCCAAGCATTGGAAACTTAAGGCTGGAATTTAGAAATCTATTCTTTTATACCACATTTGGGAGCTTTAGTTTAAACATAGCATTTCAATGATAAAGCAAAGCATGAAGACACTTAAGATGGTCTGGTTCTGCTTCATATGGAGACATCAAATGTTACGCTCCACTTTCCCTTCGGCAGACCTTTTTCTTCTCCTGCAACTTGGGAAACTTCTGGGACAGAAAATTCCAGCATGTAAATAGAAAAGAAATCCTAGTGGAATATATGCACATGGTGGACTTTGCTGAGTTAACAAAAACAGTTTTATCTGCACATAGCATTTGCCCTGTGAACATGCCTTAGTTGTAATTTACCTTTGCAGAGTGGTAAAGATGTCCACTGTCCATCCAAACACTCAATCAACTTTGATCCAGTCATTGCAAATCCGAAATTACACTTGTATTCCACCTTTTCTCCATGTTCATATGCTTCCTTAAGGTCACCACTAATACTGCCATCCGAAATGCTGGGGGGTGGCTGACAAGGATCGACTTGTGCTGGAAGTAAGAGAGCATCACTTCAGTCTTGTATCTGTTGACTCAAAAGAAGTCTAGACAGCACACCCTTCCACATAGAATTTTCATAATTATGAAATGATGTTGGATGTGCTGAGTTCCAGCCAGTTGTGTGGAATGGATGGTGTCATTTATGTGGGAAAGACTCAAATGATCAACACTACTCATGTAGCTCCTAGTTTCACCCATTACCCACACCTGCGTAGAGGAAGCCAGGGGGAAATGGTTGCCATGTTGCTGAATGAACCCCCCCCCCCCAGCTACAAATAGGTAGGGATGCTCACACAGGGCCATTCTGGGGTTACTCCTGCTTTACATAATTTTGCTTATGGTAGCAAGGAATGTAACCCCTGCATATGATGAAATTTACCTGTATCAAATGGAACTATATAACGGAGTATATTGCGTGTATAACATACCATATTTTCCCATATAATTTTGTGTTTCATTTCATTTCAGGCATTTTCTTTCTCTTTCAAAACTAAGCAATGCAGAGACAGCTTGGACATAACTGTCTGGTTGATGCAATAGGCAGTGCAATGTGAGCAAATCTCAATCAGGTTGGAACCAGCAAATTCCCTACATAAATCTGTTAAAAACAGATTCTTCCTCCATTGCTATACATGGAGCTGCCTTTATTTATATGTAATCCAAACTCCAGCAGCTAATTTGCTCACCCCATTGTGCAGATTCGAACCCCTGACCTTCCAATTAGCAAGACCAAGAGGCTTAGTGGTTGAGACCACAGCGCCATCGACATCACCTCCTTCCCATACTCCACTGACCACACAAGACTAAACAAAATACCATATTTTTCGCTCTATAACACGCACCCGACCATAACACGCACATAGTTTTTAGAGGAGGAAAATCTGTAGGCATGCCACCCATAGGCATTCCCTCCATAACACGCACAGACATTTACCCTTACTTTCTAGGAGGAAAAAAGTGAGTGTTATGGTGCAAAAAATACGGTATATATATCTATGCACTAGCCAGTGAAATCTTCCCCAGTAAGGCTTGGGAGAAACATTATTAGAAAAGGCTGGCAGGAAATTTTTACGAGTAACAAGCACACTGATATTTACTTTTTGTATAAGCTATGAAAAAAAAATGCATACCTTTACACGTTGGGGGCTGTGGAGACCATCCAAAATGATAACACTGGGCAGAGTCAGGCCCAACTCTTTTGTGGTTTCCGCGGCAGGAAAATTTCACCACGTCTCCGTGCTGATATTGGTTCTTTCTAGGGTCAAGTCGCCCATTCTCCAGAAGGAAACCATCACAATGTATTGCTAAAGGAAATGTTGAGCAAAGCAGATTGAATATAATTAAGTGCATTTCAAAACAAACCTGCCTGAAATTAACCTGCTGAGCAAAATGTTTGCAAATGTTCATCAAACTTATTGCAGCCTTGCATAACCTCTGACCCCCTGGGAGTGGAGACCAATAAATCTTTAACAAGACAGCATGCCATGTTTCTCAGCTATTGGGTGAGTCCACCTTCCTCATACCTTCAAAATTTCCATGCCTGAAAATCTCTCTAGAAGAAGTCAAATTCTATTTTCTCACAACAACAACAACAACAACTGGCACACTCAGGTGAGTTGCTGGTGCTACACTTGATCTAGAAGATGGTGTGAATTCTTTGAACAACCTGAGCTTGGATATATTCCATTAACTTTTTGCTTTCCTGTTGTTTTTTCTTCATTCTTTACATTCCAGGTGAAGGATTCTTATCAGTCTGCCTGGATGGAGGAACCACTGCAAAAAGGTGCTTCAGTTGGGGTATTTTATTCTCAGATGTTTTCTCTGAACTCTGAGCAAGCCAAACACATTGTTAAACACAGAGCAAGTTGCCTGACTCCTATATGTAGCAATTTCATCTACAGAATCAGATTGCTAAAAATCCAGCTTCACATCTTACTTTATTACATCCGAGATGAGTACATATATTCTTACTGATCATTATTAATTAGATCACGGATGTATGCCAACTGGAGGTATTTTAGTTATGTAAAATCGTTAGGAATCTCTGGGAGAAAATTACTTGAAGAAAATAAAGGATATTGCTGGTTATAGCAATATCTGAAGAGAAACCAGAGTATTGCTGGTTATGAAATACTAGATAATCCTAAAGTGTATATCTAGGATAATTGGAGGCCTTGCTTCTGAAAGATTATAAACTATTGGCCTGTGTATGTAGCCACATAGAAAACATCAGTGAAACAAACCTTGTTTGATTGACAAAGGCTGTGTTATATAATTATATGAATTATATACCGGTAATTAAACAATGGTGTTTTATAACTTACGTAGACATTCAGGATTTGGACTCCATCCATTCTCTGTGCATACTACATGGTCACCTGTGGCCTTTTTAATGGTTTCAAACCCATCTTTACATTTGTAGTGAAGTATTTCTTCAAACAAGAAAACCGATTGACTTGTGTTAAAGATTACATTATTTTGAGTTGGTACTTGGCATGTCTCTGAGGAAATAAAGAATGAATTATATTTATGATTGGTTTTATATCATCAGTTTACATGCTCTAAAATCTTGCTAGTTCAGACTCCATGAGCATACGTGTGAAATTAAGATATTTTTTTGCCCCAATATGCATCACTTTACAGTTGTTTAAATTGAATTGCCTTTGCCATTCTACCACCAATTCACTCAGTTTGGAGAGTCCCTTTTGGAGCTCTTCACGGTCTCTTTTTGTTACAGTGACCATGAACAATTTAGTATCACCAGCTTCCCTGGCCATTTCACTGCTCACCTCTAACTCTAGATTGTCTGTGGGCTAGTTAAAAGGAACAGGTCCCATTACTGATTCTTAGGGACTTCACTTTCTGAATCCCTTCATTCAGAGAACTGTCCACTTCTTTCTTCCTGCTGGTTAACCAATTCCTGGTTCATAAAGGAACTTCACCTCTTATTTCATGGCTGCTAAGCTTATTTAGGAGTCTTTGGTGAGATACCTTGTCAAAAGCTTTTTCAAAGTCCAAGGGTCAACCAGATCACCACCATTCACATGTGCCTGCTAACACACTCAAAGAACTCTACTAAGTGGGTGAGACAGGATTTGCCCTTACAGCAGCCAGGCTGTTTCTACTTCAGCAAGATTTCTTTTTCTATATGATTGGTTATTTTATTTTTCACAATACTTTCCACAAATTTCCTCAGAACAGGCATTAAGCAAGCAGAAATTAAGCAACTTTAACCTCGTACCTATAGGACCGCCTCTCCTGGTATGCCCCGCAGAGGACCTTAAGGTCCACAAATAACCACACTGTGGTTAGATTGGTCTCAACTAAGGCCAGGACCTTTTCAGTACTGGTCCCGGCTTGGTGGAACGCGCTCTCTCAAGAGACTAGGGCCCTGCGGGACTTGACATCTTTCTGCAGGGCCTGCAAGACAGAGCTGTTCCGCCTGGCTTTTAGTTTGTACTCAGTCTGACCCTTATATTTCCCTCCCCTTGTGTTTTCGATTCATGGGCTACTATTAAAATAATGCTGCATTATAAATTGTATTTTAACCTGTATTTTAATAAACTGATTTTTTTTTGTTTGTTTGTCCCCCCCCATTATGTTTTATTGTAATTTTATTCATGTTAGCCACCCTGAGCCCAGCTCTGGCCGGGGAGGGCGGGGTATAAATAAATTATTATTATTATTATTATTATTATTATTATTATTATTATTACTATTACTATAACCTCCAGGCTCTCTCTGGATCCCATTTTAAAAACTGGAGATACATTGACTATTTTCCAGACCTCATTATGAAGGCTAATCTGAGGGACAAGTTACATATTGTAGCTAAATGGACAGCAATTTCACATTTGAGTTCTTTGACTACTCTAGGATGGATTTCCCAGTTTGCATTTCATCAATGAGGCCTAGAACCTTGTCTCTCATCAATTGATTGGCAAGAAAACAACTTCTTGTTGTTAGTTTGAGTCTCCTGCTGTAATATGTTCCTCAATATTTTGCTTTCGAAATTACCGTATTTTTCGCCCTATAGGACACACTTTTCCCCCTCCAAAAATGAAGGGAAAATGTGTGTGCGTCCTATGGGGCGAATGCAGGCTTTCGCTGAAGCCTGGAGAGCGAGAGGGGTCGGTGCGCACCGACCCCTCTCGCTCTCCAGGCTTCGCACAGCTCTCCGCAAGCGGTGGGAGCCCGGCGCTGGGCTCCCACGGCTTGCGGAGAGTTGCCTGCATGCTGAAGCCTGGGCATGCTGAGCTCAGTGCGCCCAGGCTGAGAGCTTCCCGCAGCTCTCCGCAAGCTGTGGGAGCCCGGCGCTGGGCTCCCACGGCTTGCGGAGAGCTTCCTGTTCTGAGGGCTGGGTTTGGGGGAAGCTTGGGCTTCCCCCGCCCCAGCCCCACGCCTGGGGGAAAAAATAATTCCCCCCCCTTTATTTCCCCCCCAAAAAACTAGGTGCGCCGTATGGGCCGGTGCGTCCTATGGGGCGAAAAGTACGGTACTACCACTGAAAGAAGATGGAGGAAACAGACAGAAGAAGTCCATATTGTGTAGAGTTTAGCCAGGTTTCACACGGTTATCAGAGCAGACTGCTTTTTAAGCTTAAGTTAATGACTTTTCCAATGTGTGGTCTAAACCAACCCATTTTTCATGATTCTTTAAACTGCTTACTGATACACTTTGGTTCAGGCTTCCACCCTTCTTCATGGCATTGTATATCTCCCATTTCAAGTCCTTGTGGAGTTGTGAAGCCAGGCTGACAGCGATATGATGTTTTGTCATTCAAATTATATTGGTTTCTTCTTTCAGTGAAAAAGCCGTTTGGTGGTTTCGCGGGTCGACATATTTCTAATGAGGAAAAGGAACGTATTAGATACATGAACCCATAAATTATGGTGAGCTTTGTTAGCTAAGAATCAGCTTCTTGTGAAGTCCACTACAATGTTTCATAAATTTCTCAAATGAGATCTAGTCTGGTTAAGTTATGTAGCTCAGGTTTTAGAGAGACTTTAAGGTTCATTCCACAGCTTGTCGGAAGTCCCACCCCTTTGAGTACAAATATTAAACAAGTTCTTCCAGGTTTAGCTCCATCTACCACATGTTTTGCAAGTACCCAGACTGCTTGTGATTGCTTCACCCAGTGAAGAGGAGACGTTCAGAAGAGATAGGTGCTGCAAAGGCCTCTTTCCTCTGCTACTCATTACAAATCAACATGAGATTTGCAAACATGCACATCCTTAAGCTTTCCTATAACTGTGAGAAGTCCAAGAAAATAATATAATGTACTGGTTGTTCATAGCAGGACAGGACAGGGCAGGCTCCAGGTTCTCAGATTCTATATTGTCAAATTGGATTCCATAAATAACACTTACTTTTTACATTACAACGTGGAGTAGGTGACCAGCCATTTTTGGTGCACACGGCCTTAGCTTGTTGATTTATAGGATCATATCCAACCTCACAAGAATACGAAATTTCATCACCTTCTATGAACTTCTGCCAATTATGGACATTGAATGTACCATGTGCAAGCAGTCTAGGAATATCACATTTTTCTAAAAGGAAAAAAAAAATAAAGGTTACATCATTGATTGACATATATTTTGGCAATTGAAATCTTATTTTCAAGATAGAAATTACTCGAGAGACTTGGTTTAAAGTTTTCCTATATGCTTTTGCAACATATAGATGTAGAAAATAGACACACAATGTGATTCATAAAATAGGTCTTTTATGGACCCCTTCATGTGTTGAAAGAATCTTTAGGAGTCACAGTGTCACACCACTTTTTTCTCTTTTAACAACCTTTCCTAGCTGCTTAAATATGAATTGATCCAATTCATATTTGAAGGTGAATCTGTATTTGAACATGAATGTTATTTGCCTTCGCAAAACAATTCAGAAACCAAAACATAGTCATCCTTCGAAATTCTCACTGCTCTGAATTTTGCAATGCAGTTCTCTGGCCAACTGATGTGTAGAAAGGTGCATATGTTAGGGTACTGTGTGGATTAAAATACATACATATTTGGAAAATAGCATACAAAAATGCATTATGTAGGGGGAAATGGCTTTGCAAAAATGTGTATGTTAGGCAAATTGCCATACAATATTAGCCAACATTTGCTGACAATTTGTCACTACACACACACACCACACTCAAACCAATAAACTGATGTGGAAATGTGGAGAAATGAACATAAGATTGGAAAAATTAGAAACCCAAAGAAACTAAAACTCACAGATTTGTCCATCACTAACTAGAGGCCCCTGGAAGCAAGGGGATGGGACACATTGTGATGTGTGACGTATAGAGAAAAGGAGATGTGACTCCATAGGTATCGGAGGGCAACCATTTTTCTCTCCATACAATTACCCAGGAAGGGGTGTCACATCATAAAGCACTATGGCCGCCAGGTACTTATTACACCAAACTTGAGCAGTTAGATTTTTTGTTAAAGGAAAAAGTGTACCACGGAACCCCTTCAAATACCATTATAACTATTATTTTTTTATACTTAAAGAATAGGCGTATATTTAGGATTTTGTCTTAAAATATTACACAGGCATTTGACAGAAGGGACTTACAATGTACTTGTGTGACAATCACAAGGATGAGAGATTAAGATGATCCAACCCACCCCTACGTCTATAGCCACCTGCCCAAATGCCAAGATCTTCCACTGATATCAGGGGGTGGTGATCACACAGAAAGCCTTTCCATCACCCCCCCCCCTTATGGAACACAATCGCCACTACCAAATGGGTCAACCTGGTACTCAGTTTATTAGATTTTTGGTGCCATATGAAGACATTTTCATATTAAATTTTAAAGTTTTCCACTCTGATTACTCACTGTCTAACCATGTTACACATTTTCCTTCCACATCTTTCGGAATAGGCATATTTTGTGTTTGCACATGGCCGTTTCCATTTCTGATCAAAGTTGAGAATGCAAGGGAAATGTTAACTTACTGAAGCATTTTGGTTCTGGATTCCAGCCGAATTTGGTGCACGAACTTCTACCCCATGTTTCTTTCTTTATTGGTAGAAAACCATCACGGCAACTATAGTCAACTGTTTGTCCCACCCTTCTTGGAAAATAGTAGTCTTTCCAGCGTTCATAGGTATCAGATAGTTGTCCATTCTCAATCCGAATATAGTCACAGTTCTTTGCTTTGGAGAAGATGAGAAAAAGGTTAAGCCAAACATAAATAAATTGGGATGTTCCACTTGCTATTTTCCTTGGGCTGGCTGGTTTAATGGAGGATGCACATTTGGCTCAAGTGTATCAGTGTCTGAATATTATCTGGGTTTCCCTCTTTGGTCTGTGTATGAAAACAGAAATAGATGACTGTGGCAGAAGATGCAGGTGGTCCCCAGACCCACGTTTGCTGCCAGGAACAGTCAGAGCTGGGGAAAGACAGTTTGCTGGGGCTTGAAGACCACAGTCTTCTCCAGCCCAAAGATAAGCTTTTGGCCCTTAGAACAAGGACATAGGGTAATGGTGCAGGGAACTCCGATATTTTAGCAAGCATTGAAACCAAATCTTTGCAAAAAGCTCGAGCCTATGCAGACATTCAGTCGGATGTGCCTGCATCCCTATTTCTGTATACCTGAAGGAGCGTCTCCACCCTCATCATCCAGCCCGGACACTGAGATCCAGCGCCAAGGGCCTTCTGGCGGTTCCCTCATTGTGAGAAGCAAGGTTACAGGGAACCAGACAGAGGGCCTTCTTGGTAGTGGCACCCACCCTGTGGAACACCCTCCCTTCAGATGTGAAGGAAATAAGTAGCAATCCTATCTTTAAAAGACATCTGAAGGCAGCCCTGTTCAGGGAAGTTTTTAATATTTAGCACTGTATTGTTTTTAATACTTGATTGGGAGCTGCCCAGAGTGGCTGGGGAAACTCAGCCAGATGGGCGGGGTATAAATAATAAATTATTATCTGTCAGGGGTTCAGGGAAAGAGGCACAGGTGAGGGAGGAGACTGAGAGTGAGGGGGAAGAATCCCAGGACGACGAGGAAGAGGATGACAATGACTTGAGGGATTCCATGAGTCTTTCAAGTGAATCGGAGGATTCCCAAAAGGGGGCGCCTGTGGTCAGGCCAAGGGGAGTCACAGGGGGGACTCGTCAGGAGCAGGGGAGCAGCAGGGGAACCCCGAGTGGGAGTTGGGAATCGGGGCCGGCTTCTCCGCCGGAACGGAGTGAAGGGGGTGGAGTTTCCAGTGTGACAGGAGAAGCAGAGCAGGAAGCAGAGAGGGGAAGGAGATCGGGGCAAGACATCCTCCCGGAAGGGGTGGAGAGTAGTACAGGGAGTAGTGTAACTGTCAAGAGGAAGGTCAGAGGTAGCGAACGCGCGCCAAGTTCAAATGTGGAGGCGCGCGGAAATACAGAGAGCCCGGAGGAGGAGCCAGGTCCCAAAGCACGCAGGAGGGGGGAAGAGTTGTCTGGGGATTCAGCGTCAGGGGAATCCAGGAGGGGCGAAACCCCAGGGGGCAGGAAGACCCTGCGGAAAAGGAAGGAAAGGAAGAGGTGGAGCAGGACAAGCCTCTTAAACTGGTGTAGAGGAGGGACTGACTCAGAGGGGACTTCAGCGGTCTAAGCATAACAGACGTGGGGCTGCGCGCCTCGGCTGTGGAGCATACAATGTACTGCAATAAAGATCTTTGTATATAAAGTGGACTTGGCGTTGGTCTCTTGTGAGCTGGGACCTGAGGCGGCCCCGACATTATCATTATTATTATTTCGTCCGATATATTTGTGAATGACGGCAATAAAACTTTGTACTTGGGAACAACATTTCATTGGGCAAAAATCTGAGCCCTTACTCTGACTGTGAATAACCCAGCCTCCACCCAAGGGACCCCATGTGCCTCCATGCACAGCCCCTGACCTCCAGTCATAGAGCAATAGGTAGAGGTTCATGGCTCTCCCTGCACACACACCTCAACTATCATCGTGATGAGCATATAATTCATAAACTACAAAGTTGGATGCATTGAATGCTAGTTGTTCATGTTTTGAAACTGCAAAGAGAAAGCTACTTACGAATACATATCGGAGGAGGAGACCACCCCGTCTCTGTACACGTGGAAGTGGATTGGCGGTTCTGAAGCTGATACCCAGGCTCACACTGTGTTTCGATTGTGTCTTGATATTCATAGTAACTCTGCTTAGGATGGTAGTCGCCATTTTCTACTTGGGGTTGGGAGCAGACAATTTCTATGGAGGAATACAAGGAGGACACTTGGTCAGCAACAGATCAAGCAACAAACCCTTTCCCTGGCTAGATATAATTCAGTACATCGGTATGAGAACGTATTTATTATTTGTTAAAAACAAACTTCAAAGCGGTTTATGAAATATTAATAAATTTTTCAATAAGTTAGAAAAGCAATATTTTCAAAGACCAAAGTCTTAATAATGAATGGGGGAAATTTATATCTTAAAAACCATTGTAAACAGCTAAAATTGTTAGTTTGGAATAACACTTGCAGTTTAATGGTAAATTTTGGACATAATGGAGATGCAAAAGATTTGGATTATTATAAAAGATGCAGGAGGAAAGGACTAGCAATAGGACCCACAAAGGAGATGAGGGTTAGGGTTAGGGTTAGGGTTAGGGTTAGGGTTAGGGTTAGGGTTAGGGTTAGGGTTAGGGTTAGAGTTAGGGTTAGGGTTAGATTCTGTGGAATCTTGTTTCTATATTGTATGTTATTGTAAAATTTAATTTGAAAAACCCAAGTAAATTTGCAAAAAAGAAAGTAAACAATAATAATAATTTTAAACTTTCAAAAAGATAAAATAACAGTATAATAAGAACACATTAAAATTCACATCTAAACATCTTAGCAAAAGATTGCAAAACCAGAATCAGCAGAACTTGCTAAAGGAAACTTACTTGATTAACAATATGTATTTTTAAATCAGTCAATTTCTCAATCAAGGTGGGGTCAAAGCTCATGCAAAAGTCCCAGGCAGCGTCTGAAAATCAGGCTGGGACAGACCCCTGTCTTGAAACCATGTAGAGCCAGACTGAACTAGATGGGGATAAGGCAGCTTCCTTTGCTCCTATGACCATAGCCACCAGATGAAAAGGAACAAAAGGACACGTATTCTGTTCTTGGATCACCAAATTATTCCCTTTAAAATAATATAAGCACAGTGCTGCAACATGCCACTGCCATTCCAGATCTTCCTTTCTTCCCTTTCTGCTGTCATAGATCTTTTTTGTGAACCACCCTGAAACCTCCAGATTATCAGGTGGTACATAAATTCAAATGAAGAAGAAGAAGAAAAAGAAAAAGAAGAAGAGCCTTTCCGAACACCACTGTAGGAGCATTCCCTCTTATATGCAAGATGTGAGTGAGGAGTAAATAAATACCGGTATAAAACACAAAATAGCATAGTTTTAAAGGTGTAAAAATCATTGTCCCGATTCACCAAGGACAACGTTCTGATCTTGTCAGGGAACTGCCATCGGAGGAACAGGTGGTGGAGGGGCTCAGGGAGGCTGGGAGAGACTCAACAGCTGAAGCAGGAACCAGCCGGGGGAGGAGTGGATCTCTGAGGGAATGCGAGCAGGAGGGAGGGCTCAGAGACGCTTCCAGCGAGAACAGTGGGGAGGTATCTGAAGCTCCCATAGGGAGACCCACGCCTCGCCGGAAACTGTCACGCCGTGAGTCCAGAAGACGTGTTTCCGTTAAGGAGCTTTTATGCTGGAAACGATTCCGAAAGCAACCACTGTCGGAATCTGTAAGTGACTAGAGCAGCCATGTCTGAGGGGCTCCGTCACAGACAGAGGTTTGTGAACGTGCACAGACTCTGAGGGACTACGTTTTTACGCACAAGCAGCTCATCATCCCATCACAGCATTCCGACAGTCTTTGTAAGCTGCTGGTGCAGGAAAAGGCATCATGAGTGATCCAGCCGGAACCAGAGAAGCAGGGGTTGGAGCTGGTCCAAGCTTGGAAGAAAGGTACCGAGCGTTGGAGATCCAACTGGCGCTGCAGACGGCGAGGCTTGAGGAGAGAAGGGCGGAGGATGCAGACAAGAAGGGGAAAACCACCCAGTTCACCAGAAAGGTACCAGGATTGGTGCAGAAGTTTGGGGGGGACCCCAAGGACTACCATGCCTTTAGAACAGAGATGCAATATGCTCTCAATGTGCAGTTTGAGGAATTCCCTGACGAGGAATCGCGAGTGGCTTTCGTGATTGGGCATCTTGAAAAGGGGGCGCGGGACTGGGTTCGGCCCCTGATGGCAACGCATAATGACATCCTAAAGGACACAATGAAGTTCTTTCGTGCAATGGATCTCATGTTTTCCAGCGATATTGAGAAGGGAGTGGTGCGCAGACAGCTAATGGCTTGCAAGCAGGGAAGCCGATCTGTCCGTGAGTACTGGACTGAATTCACCATGCTGGTGCACAGATTGGGGTGGGACTTATCGGCGGAACCCATTCAAATGCTTTTTGAAGAAGGTCTTGCTTCGGCGGTGAAAGATGAGCTTTCCCGGGGGCCCAGGGCGGATTCTATGGATCAGCTGACCAAATCTGCGCTGACCATAGGAGCGCGCCAGGAGGCGAGAGCTTTGGAGAGGCGGGAAGGGAAGGGGGAACGTTGCAAGGAGTTCCGCATTCCAGACATTCCAGAGCCAGCTTTCCCGCCGGCAGAGCCGATGGAAATCAGAACAGCGCGCGCGCGCGCAGTTTCAAAGCCTAGTGAAGGGGGGAAGAAGGAGGGAAAAGGTGCCCGGAAATGCTATCTCTGCCAACAGCCAGGTCACTTTGCCAGAGTATGCCCCCAGAGGAAGGAATGGCAAGGGATGGTGGGGGCTGTGGAGGGAGGAGTGGAGGAAATACCGGAGCAAGTAAAAGCCAACGCCTGGCTGCCACCGTCGGGGCACAGCAGCCAGGCCAAAGAGCAGTGAAAGTGCCCACGCCAGAACCTCCTAAACCTGCCCTAGTGATAGAAGTGTCACTAGAGTTGCAAAACGGATACCCTCTAAAGATAAAGGCGCTGTTGGACTCAGGCAGCTCCTGCAATTTCATGAGCAAAGAGTTTGCAGCTGAACACCAGATACGGATGATCCCTTTAAGCAATCCCCTGCAGGTGACCACGATCGATGGCAGGGAACTGTTGGGAGAAGAAGTCAGCTTGCAGACCGTCCCAATGATAATGAAGGTGGCAAGGCACACAGAACTGATAGTGTTTAATGTGGCCACCTTGGGAGGGGCTCCCATTATTTTGGGGATGAGCTGGCTGGCGTTACATGATCCGCTGGTGGGCTGGCATCAGAGAGTGGTTTCCTTTGGCTCCGCACATTGCTTAGAACACTGCAAGGAGGGAAAGGGTTCAGCAGGAGCCCAAGCTACCCTAGCAGGGACGGAAGTAACGGAGAAAGTGAAGGTACCACGACAATATGCAGATCTCAGCGACGTGTTCAGCGAAAGGGAAGCTGACCAATTACCACCGCATAGACCCTTTGATTGTCAAATCAATTTACTGCCTGGGGCACAGCTCCCTGTAGGCAAGTTGTATGCCATGTCAGACAGAGAGATACAGGTGCTAAGAGAGTTTATTGACAAAAACCTGAAGAGAGGTTTCATCAGAGAGTCAAGAGCGGTGGGAGGTTGCCCCAGTGTTTTTTGTGGATAAAAAAACACGGACAAGCCGAGACTTGTGTGTCAGTTTCATACCAAGGAGGTGGAGTTCCTGGGGTACCGCCTGTCAGACAAGGGATTGGCCATGGATCCCGCAAGGTCCAGGCAGTGCTGGAATGGAACGTTTTTACGCACAAGCAGCTCATCATCCCATCACAGATCTATTTTAAATCATCTAATCTAATCCATTTAACTAAAATTGCAATCTTGTGCACAATTCCCTGAGAGATCTGTGCAACAGAGTGGGCTTACTTCAAAGTAAGCATGCACAGGGTTACAATGAAACGACGACAGCTCTAGGAACTGGAAACATACAAACCTATGCACGCAAGTCTTGAACTCCACCCATTCCGAGTGCATGTAGCATCCGATCTCTCAGCATGCTTGTACCCATTAGAACATGAGAAGTGCACTCGGTCCCCCTCTTTGTAAAGTTTCTTTGGGTTTAGTATATATCCATGATCGATGGTTTCTTCTTGGCAAGTAATTTCTATCGCAAAATACAAACAAAATTTCCATATTAGGAAACGAGGTGTTAACTTGTAACAAAAAGAAATGTAATTCAATGTTTCTAAAAAGTTCCTTCCATGAACAATTCACTGTATTCCCATTTCTAAGGTGCCAGAACTCAGAAGGAGTCACGTAATCATGCACGAGAGCAGGCTAAATGCAGAACTGAAGTCATAATTCTCATTCAGGAGTGAACTAGATTCAAGCCCAGTGACATAAAATATTCTCAACAGCTTCCATATGTTTCCTAGGTGTTGAAAGAATCTTTAGGCGTCACAGTGACACACCACTTTTTTCTCTTTTAACAACCTCTCCTAGCTGCTTAAATATGAATTGATCCTATCAATATTTGAAGCTGAATCTGTATTTGAACGTGAATGTTATTTGCCTTCGCAAAGAAATACAGAAAACCAAAACACAGACATCCTTCGAAATTCTCACTGCTCTGAATTTTGCAATGCAGATCTCTGGCCAACTGATGTGTAGAAAGGTGCATATGCTAGGGTACTGTGTGGATTAAAATACATACATATTTGGAAAATAGCATACAAAAATGCATTATGTAGACGGAAATGGCTTTGCAAAAATGTGTATATTAGGCAAACTGCCATACAATGTTAGCCAACATTTGCTGACAATTTGTCACTGTGTGTGTGTGTGTGTGTGTGTGTGTGTGTGTCTGTATTCTCTCTCTCTCTCTCTCTCTCTCACACACACACACACACACAGTTGTGGCTGGTCGGCAGGTGTGGGTAGTTTGGCACTGCTCACCTGGGCTGCCCAATATCATACATTGCTGCCAACTACCAAGAGTGGGGGGCAAGGCAGTGGGGAGTTGTGTGACAGGTGCAGTGTCAGAGTCAGTCCAGCACTGCCACTGCCACTGCACTGTGCTGAGCTCCTCACTGCCTTGACCTTCCCCTTTCTTCTCTAACTGGCAGTGATGGCATTGTCTCCCGTTCATCCCGAGCATTTCCCTTGAGCATCGCAACTCGTTTCCTCAAAAAGTGAATGCCTATGTCATAGAAGCACAACAAAGGAAGTGAGCCATGACCTCTCTTCTCCTGCTGGAATTGTGCTTGCCCTCATTGCCTAAGGATTTTGGATGTGTGAAAATGCCTTGCTCTACACTGGATTGCTTCTCTGCCTGGCCATAAATCCAGTATTTGGCCATTCATTAGCCTTGGTGAGAACAAAAATGACCTTTCCAAAAACACTGTCTCTACAAGCTGGCATCTGGAAAGGCTAGTTGCCCCATCCCTAGGTTTGAACATGATACTCTGGATGGCAGAGGTACTCTATCCAATTTGCACAAAGTACTCATCTCTGTTGGGAAAGATGGAGGGCACAAGGAGAAGGGGACGACAGAGGACGAGATGGTTGGATAGTGCTCTCAAAGCTACCAGCATGAGTTTGACCAAACTGTGGGAGGCAGTGGAAGAAAGGAGTGCCTGGCGTGCTCTGGTCCATGGGGCCACGAAGAGTCGGACACGACTAAACGACTAAACAACAACACTCATCTCTTACTTTTTCACTCAGCACCAATGGCTGAGAACGATGTGCTCAAGCAGCTTCTTAAACTACCTGTGACAGGAAGCCTAAAATACCCTACCTCTTTTTTGTAGATGACTTGTCTGTTGTGTCAAGTAACATCCCCCCACCTTTTAAGGAAATAAAGCATTTAAGAGTGTCCTCATTATTCAATCTTCATTCAGTCTTTATGGGACCTCATCAAAATTGCTCCAGCCCGGTTCAGCTTTCCCCTCACCTCTTTCTCTACCTTTTACCCTTGCCTCTCCTCCATCTTTGTCATTTACTTCCATTCTACTCAGGTACCTAGAGAGGACAGGAAGCCTCACACCTCCCCTTTAAAGCTATTTTTCAATGAACTGAGAAGGTTCAGGAGAATCCAAGTTGCTTGCTTTGGAAACCACACCGTGTCAGGCTCAAAGGAACCTATGCATGTACAAAATCCTTTTAATTCACATGTCAGGGTTGTTCCATGAAATCTAGGTCTATATTACAGTGTGACAGATTCCTAGCAACCTCTTCTTGCTTTATAACATGACAGTAGCTTTCCCCACCTCCCTTTCTTTCTCTTCAGGTTCCACTCCGTGGTCATAGTTATAGGCAGTTGCACATTTAGTGCTTATTCTTCTGTGATAAATATGTACAAGCCTTGGTTTTGTACCTCTACTGCTGATTTCCCCCTGTTACTGTAAAAAAGAGAATGTCCCCATGGTGAACCATCTTCTGACCCCCAAGTATTGAAAGACATGCTTCCATTGATGGCACATGTACACATGAACATCACATGTGATAAGGAACACATGTTAACACACCATCAATAAATTCAAGGACTCATTAAATTGTTGATTTAGTTAGGTAAAGCTAAGGGGAACTGCAGACCCTATTTCCCAGGGATGTTCCTATTTCCCAGGGATGTCCCTGATTTAGAGAAGCCATCTTGGTTTCTGATTTGATCCTGGAATGTCCCACTTTTCCTTAGGATGTCCTTATTTTCATCAGAGAAATGTTGGAGGGTATGGAGTTATCTGACCCCCGAGCCATCTTTAGGTAATTCTGTATAGTTTTTAAAATGTTATTAAGTTTTTATATATGTTGGAAGCTGCCCAGAGTGTCTGGGACAACCCAATAAGATATGTGGGGTATAAATAGTAAAGTTAACATTATGCAACAGAACATCCCTATTTTCATCAGAGAAATGTTGGAGGGTATGGAATTGATGGATCTAATTTTAAACGAACAGCCCTAGTATTTTATACAAACTCTTTGGCGATAATTTTTGGCATGCAAAAGAGGTTTTAAGCACTGAGCTTTAACATATCTTCTACTGCTTTTGATTGTTCGTTTTATCCCCTCCTCCCAACTAACCTACACATCTTGGTACATCGTCACTCCAGTTTCCATGAGCTGTGCAAAAGATTTGTTCGGACCCCTGGATTTTGAAACTTCCAGAGCATTCAAATCGTAACACCTGGCCAAACAGAAATTCCTGGTCTAAGTCTTGTACTCCAGTCATAAGGATTCTTCCATTTTCTGGTGCTTTTACTGGGAAACACTTCGTCACTATAAAACAAATAACAACATCATGCAAAGTTTAGCAAAATATTTTTTTAAGGTGATCAAGAAAAACAGCAGAAAATGAGTAGCATGATTACTACAACCATAATACAGTTGTACCTTGGAAGTCGAACGGGAGCCATTCCGGAAGGCCATTCAACTTCCAAAACATTTGAAAACCAAATTGCAGCTTCTGATTGGCTGCAGGAAGCTCCTGCAGCCAATCAGAAGCCCCGTAAGCCCCGTCGGATGTACAGGTTCCAAAAGAACATTCGCAAACTGGAACAAACACTTTGTGGTGTTTCAGAAGTGTTCCAGGGCATTTGGGATCGAATGTACTCAATAGAAGACATTCAAGTGTACTATTTATCAACCAAAGAGGAGTGCAGAAAATGCAATTCCCCCATCATTTTCTGATTATTTCTGTCTGTCTCTCTCCACTGTGTTGAGACAGGCATCTATCCCTTTGCACACAGGAAACAGGAAGCCCGGCCCAGATTGAATTATTGAGCAGATCTATCAAAATTAAACCTGGCTGTGTGTGGATTTAATACACACAAGATTTTCTGTTCAGTTTTTCTTATATTTGCCATTGGCCATAACATACAATCTATAGCCAAAGCGTTGGCTATCGCAGCAGCCAAAGATTCCTTTTAAAACCAGTAAATCTTCAATCTCTACAGTATGAATTGCTAGCAATGTCAATGTTTCCATTAGCAAAGAAGAAACTATTCCTCCACAAAAAAGTAGACCAATATTCATAGATTCTCAAAATTTGTGAATGAGACACAGGGGTGACTGCGCTGTTTTGTGATCTATGGTTTATTTACACATACATAGAAGCTGAGTCTATGATGGAGGGATTCACAGCATCAACACCCAAAGGGGTCTTGCGTCTCCCATAGACACAACTTTGGATTCAAACAGGCATCAAATATTGTGCTCTCCCTCCTGCTTTTCTGCTTCTCCGTCATATAACACCTAACTCTAACCTTTCTAACCTAAGCTCTGTGGTTTTATCTTTTGAGGGAGAGGCCCCAACCATTTGCCATCTCACAGTGACTCCTTTGACTTTTGGTGTCTTAATGGCCCATCTCAACACAGGAGGCTAGCTGAATTTAACTACCTTTTAACACTTGCTGATTCCAGGGGATTAGAAGTGCCTAGCATACAGCCTAATACACATAGGTCTGGAACCCAGTTTTAACATCCCAAGCCTTCATTGAATTCTAACACTTGCTCAGCCTGGAGATTATGGTGGTCTGACACCCACAAACTGATAACACTATGGAATCCTGGGAGCTGTGCGAACAAAAGAGAAATGCTTCTTGCTTCAAGTAAAACAATTAAAGGACAAAGGCTCAGATTCAGTCCCCGCGCACATATAGAAAGAACTTCCAGATATACACAGGGTGGAAGCTAGCTTAGAGAACGGGGACGCGGGTGGCGCTGTGGGTTAAACCACAGAGCCTAGGACTTGCTGATCAGAAGGTTGGCAGTTCGAATCTCCGCGGCGGGGTGAGGTCCCATTGCTTGGTCCCTGCTCCTGCCAACCTAGCAGTTCGAAAGCACGTCAAAGTGCAAGTAGATAAATAGGTACCGCTCCAGCGGGAAGGTAAACGGTGTTTCCGTGTGCCGCTCTGGTTCGCCAGAAGTGGCTTAGTCATGCTGGCCACATGACCTGGAAGCTGTACTCCCTCGGCCAATAAAGCGAGATGAGCGCTGCAACCCCAGAGTCGGTCACGACTGGACCTAATGGTCAGGGGTCCCTTTACCTTTTTACCTTATAGAACCTTAGACAATTCCGATGTACTCTGAATTTCAGTCAAGATCCCTGAAGGTCCACCTACCTTCACAATGAGGGACATCATTGCTCCATCCATCTGCACGGCAATCACGGTAATTTGTATGACTGAGCATCTTGTACCTGGAAGTACAATTTTTTAAAAAAATAAACTGAAACTTTTTAAAACCATAGAATTACGTGAGTGGATCAGCTTCAGTAATATTACTTTGAAACATGATGAGACTTCTGGAAAAGAAAGAGCATTTTCTGGTTGTTTCTAGGGATGACACGAATATTCAGGAACAGCTGCAGCTTGCACACCAGGCAAAGTTGACAAAAATAATTTGCAGCCACTTGTTTTCTTCTGGCTGAAATACCTTGTGGTGAAATGGGTGCCTTAGCCCAAGAGCAGTCAGGCACCCCAGCACTACCCAAGTACAACCACCCATTTAAGCATATAATATACACCTGATGTTCTATTTTTTTTTTAAAAAATGAGTTTTTTAAATCAGTAGAGTTTTTAATCATAAAGCAGCTGTCCTAAAAATACTACCGTGATTAAATATTTGAAGGGGAGGGGAGACTTACCCATCATCACATCGATACACAACACGAGCACCAAAAACAAATTCGTTTTCATTAACAATATCAAAAGAGCCAGACTGAATATCTCCAGGATGTCCGCATGGCTTTTCTGGAAATTAAAAAAAGTGAAATGTAATGCATTATAACACTTCTGGTTAGAAAAACATGGCATTTGAGAACCATGCAATGTTAGGAGGAATATATGAGATTGTGAAGAACAGCCTTGCATCTCCTTGTCTCTCCATGAAGAAATAGGAGACATGCAACATCACTGAGCTCAAAATTCCCACACTCCTGCTCTGATTCACCAGGTGCCTCTCGTAGAAAGATTGGGGTGGAAGTCTTAAGTTGCTTCAAGCACCTTCTTTAAGAAGTCATAACCAGGGAGATACGGAGCTGTTTGTGGTGGCAAACAACTTTTCTTCATAACATTGTATTTGGCCCTCAGCTTCCGTGTGTGTCCGTGTTTGTGTGTGCAATGATTCCTCAACATCAACTTGGTTGGACTGGTCATGTTGTGCAGATACCTGAATATCATCTTCCAAAGCAACAACTCTATTCCGAACTTAAAAATGGAAAGCGTAATGCTGGTGGTCAACAAAAGAGGTTCGAAGACTCTCTCAAGGCAAATCTAAAAAAATGTAGTATAAACACTGACAACTGGGAAACACTGGCCTGCAAGCGCTCCAATTGGAGAACAGCCTTTATAAAAGGTGTCATGGACTTTGAAGATGCTTGAACTCAGGATGAAAGAGAGAAATGCACTAAGAGGAAGGCACGCTTGGCAAACCCTCACTGTGATCAGCTCCCACCCGGAAACCTATGTCCCCACTGTGGAAGGACATGTGGATCCAGAACTGGCCTCCACAGTCACTTACGGACTCACTTTTAAAACCGTGTTTATGGAAGACAATCTTACTTGGCTATGAGTGATCACGAAAGAAGAAGGGGAAGAGAAGTATTGCAGGCAGTATTCAGCTTTCAGTTAAAAAGGAAAATGATAATATTTCTCCACCTCTCTGAGTGGAAACAAATAATGGAATCCAAATGTCAAACAAAAAAAGGAGATAGTGCCTACAAACTGAAATAGAACCTTGTGGTCTCTGTTAGAATGCTAAAAAAAATGAGTCATCCCAATGATTATCACAGAGAGAGAAAAATTAACTGCTCAAAATATTTCAATTGCCTGTGATTCTGAATTCTGCAAAGTTATGCTTTTACTTACTTCTGCATTCCACGTGTGGTACAGATTGCACCCATTCTCCATCATTGCACTGAAATCTAAGGCGCCCAAGTTTTATATATCCAGGCCGGCAGTTGTAGACTACTTCTTCCCCATGGGAATAGGATGGTTTGCCTGGTAATTTTGCAAGTTCTTCACGGTCTCTTCTTGGGGGTGGTCCACAGTCATTTCCACCTAGATACAAGTGAGGGGTTGGAAAGCATCAATCAAGTATGACTTCCAGGTCCTGTATACTAACATTTAAAGTATCTAAAGAAAAAAGAGCAAGAACTGAGGATTCCAATGAATCAAGCAATAAAAACACTGGCTTCATAACTGTGATTGCTATCTAACCTCCCTTCATTGTACTATAAATCAGGTTTGAGCAGAAAGTACGTTGCTGTCCATCAATGGAAAGTGTTCAGAATACCCTGTTGCTGGGATTCTCACAAAATACTGGTCTTATCCGGCAACACTAATTCAGCACTGGTACTCTTCCTCCCCTAACATCCCATACAAAACCAGACTAGTGCAAGGCAATTCAGATTGCTCTGCCAATCAATTAACTGAACAGCATGATCCTACACAAGGCTACGTGAGCTCAGTGGTTTAGGAATGAGACTGGTTCATCTGACTTAATACTACATTTGTAGTCACTGGAGCATACTCAGACTATTATTGAAAAAAGATTCAGCTCTCTCTTTTTCAAGTGTGCAGTTGCATTTTATATAGTACTTTTGCTCCCACTAGAGGGTGCAGTCATACTATCCAAAGGATGCACTGTCTGATTAAAGACTATGAAAGACCCATTCAAACTTGTTTTCTTCTACTTATTTTTCAAGATTTGTTTCTTTTGTTTGATATGCGGAGCTGTTAACTTGTTCCACTACTGTATCAACCTTCTCTGTAAAAAACAACAAACTCCAACTTTTTCATGATTTGAGAAATCATGTGAGTAATTATTTTTGCAAATTGTCCTGGCCGATAGCATAATCATCACCATTTTCCTTCCGACCTCACTATTTACAGGTCCACCTCTCCCCAACAAACCATGCAACTCAATGACACTTCATGAATTTGATGGACTTCAGTCTGCAAAGGTATATGACATTATAAATGCTATACTGTGACTTCAAGGAGGAATGGGAACTTTACACAAATTATTTAAAAACACAACAAAATGAACTGGACTCCTTGGCAGGTTTTGAATAAACATACACAAATTTATCGTTGATAACATGAAGGACAGATATGTAAGGGTATATATAATTTTATACTACGCAGAGAAAATATGTGCAGCAAAATAGGGAGAGGAGCTGAGGGAAGTCCATGGTGGGGAGGGAGGGGGGGAGGGGAAAATTATGTAGAGAACTGTACGGTTTGATAATTTGTTATGTGGAAATTGAGCAGTAAAAATAATAATAATAAACGCTATACTTTAAGTTAGAGTCATAGAATAGTAGAGATGGAAGGGATTCTGAGGATCATATGGTCCAAACCTCTGCAATGCCGGAATATGCAGCTATCCCATAGTGGGACTGAACCTGCAACCTTGGTGTGACCAGCACCACGCTCTAACCAACTGAGCTATCCAGTCACCAGAAGACTCTCTGCTGCTTTTGCTGCAAGAGACTAACACCGCTACATCTCCGGGCACGATCTGAGAATGCCCAAATTCCATTCTGCAGGCAATCAATAGCGTATAAAGTGCAAGGCAGATGGGAATCTTTTCTATGGGGCTGTTTGCACGAATGCATTGTATCCAACAGCAGCCAGTGATATCCCACTGAAAACTCACAAGAGGCATGTGAAGGAATGCGTTGTGTAGGGGGAGGAACCTGTGGATCCCCCAAAGACCCACTGTGACCAACTGGCTGCACACTTTGAAGATTAAGTCATTCAACTTTGGAGTGATCTTGACTCTGCACTTGCTGAAGCTCCGGCTGAAATATCATATTGGCCCGAATATAAGCCACACTTTTTGTTTCCAAATTCCGACTGTGAAAAGTTCAAGTGTGGCTTATATTCGGAACTGGGTGCACCCGCCTCCAAGCACTACCACCCTGAAGTGTGTCTTCTGTTCGGGCCAATACAATACGCAGTGCTGTTATCGAGGATGTTTTGCAGGGTCAGTTTCACCTTATGCAATCAGCTGATATAGTCAAGGAAATGTGTCCGACCACATGCCCCCTAGTCCCCTGTCCATAGAACCATAGAACTTTTGAAGGGACCCCAGGGTCCTCTAGTCTAACCCCCCGCAACGCAGTTGGCCCATCATCATCATTTTTAATTTGTATACCGTCTTTCCATTTTACAATACTCAAGGCGGTTTACAAGCTGAAGAAACAAAAAATGTGCATCTTATAACAATCTAATGCAATACAAAAATGTGATAAAACAACTTTAAAATAGGCAACCTACATCAAAAAAGTAACATTCAACAATCTTTAGTATAAAATAATAATATCAACATATAAAAGTTAAGCAGAAATCCACTCAACAGTTACAATAAATATCTAAACTATAATCAATAAAACAATGGCAAGCCACGGTACATAAAATAATACAATACACATTGAGAAGCAGAGACTAGAGGGTAGAGAAAGGCAGGTGGAAGGAGGCCTTGCCTGATGGAGTCTCTCCCCTCACAGTTCTTCCTCCAGGAACAGATCCCTTATGAGGACTCCTAGGTTTGGGGGGGTGGGGCAAGGCATGTGGAAAGAGGCCTTGCCTGATGGAGTCTCTCCCCTCCATCTCTTTATGGGAATCGAACCTGCAACCTTGGAGTTATCAGCACCACACTCTAATCAGCTGAGCTAAATCTAGCAGAGGGAGGAGGATTGGCTGGGTCCAGAGTGTGGTTAACATTTCACTACACGAGGGGGTGGTCCTTGCTGCATTGAAAGAGTCAGTGGTGCAACCACTCTTCAAGAAGCTGGGCTGTGGATCCTTTGGACTGGAACAGCTATCAACCAACTGCCACAAGCCCCTGTTAGTGCTGGGGGTGGAGAAGACCATGGTGGGGCAGCCCTAAGCATTCTTGGAGGACACAGATTATTTAGATCCATTCCAATCTGGGTTCAGACCTGGCCACGGTTTCGGTCAAATTGATGAATGACCTTTTTGCAGAGAGTGGGACAAGGGGATTGTGACCTTGCTCCAGCTTCTGGATCAGTCATCAGTGTTTGAGACCATAGACCATGACATCCTCTTGAACCAACTCTGGGGAATGGGAATTGGGGCCACGGTATGACAGTGCTTCCAATACTACCTTCAGGACCAAGTCTAGAGTGTAGCAGTAGAAGAGTGGCTTTTGGGCGCCTGGTGGCTACTTTATGGGATGCCGCAGGGGATAATAATAATAATAATAATAATAATAATAATAATAATAATAATATATTATGTATATGGCTCCCAACATATTATTAAAAACACGATACCACATCAAACATAAAAAACTTCCCTAAACAGGACTGCCTTCAGATGTCTTCTAAAAGTCAGATAGTTGTTTGTTTCCTTGATATCTGAAGGGAGGGTGTTCCACAGGGAGGGTGCCACTACTGAGAAGGCCCTCTGCCTGGTTCCCTGTGACCTCACATCTCGCAGTGAGGGAACCGCCAGAAGGCCCTCGGCGCTGGACCTCAGTGTCTGGGCTGAACGATGGGGGTGGAAACGCCCCTTCAGGTATACTGGGCCAAGGCCATTTAGGGCTTAAAAGGTCAGCACCAACACTTTGAATTGTGCTCGGAACCGTACTGGGAGCCAATGTAGGTCTTTCAGGACTGGTGTTATATGGAACTTTTAAGTTCCAGTGCTATTTAATATCTACATGAAGGCATTGGGAGCAGTCATTAGAAGTTTTGAGGTTAGATGCCCTCAGTATGCAGATGATACTCAGTTCTATTTCTCCATAACATCTGAATCAGGAGAGGCTGCATAGTCCCTGGACCACTGCCGGGACGCAGTGGTGAAATGGATGTGGGAAAACAAGCTGAGCTTGAATCCTGGCACTGTGGGTGAGTCATTCCTATGTCTGAGAAGTTGGTCAGTTGCCTACCTTGGATGGGGTCACACTCCCCGTGAAGGGACTTGCAGTTTGTGGGGGGTGCTTCTGCATCCAGTTCTGCTACTGGAGGCTCAAGTAGCCTCGGGGGCTAGAAATGCCTTTTTACCAACTGCATATGGTTCGACAGCTCTCTTCCACTCCCCTCAGGGCAAACACTTTCGTTTCCTACAGCAGCTCTTAAGAGCCAAAGGGAGTGGGCTTCGGGGCATGTACACATGAGAGGTGTTCCCATACTTGCACCACAGCCTTAATGATGTGATAGCAGGGGAGTAGAGGAGAGAAGGAAGAGGCAATTTTATACAGTGACATAGAGAGAGAGAGAGAGATCTACCGGTAGTTTACTGGGCCTCACAGGCTCGCATTATAATTTAGAGCCCTGTTGAAACTGTCTCTTGGAATTCTCTACTTCAGTTGTGGCTGAAGATGACGGAAGGGCCACTTCAGCAAATTTCTTCACAGGGAGAAGACATTTTCCAGCAGGAGTCAGCTCTAATAGGAGTGAGACTCACTGTTAGCAGTAGCACAATGTTTTCCTTCCTTTCTATCTTAGGCTTCTCATTGTGGTCACTTTAAACCACAGAGGCGCAGGTTAATTCTGTGTCCAGGGCGGCTGTCTACCAGCTCCATCTGGTACACAGACTGAGACCCTACCTGCCTGCGGACTGTCTCACCAGAGTGGTGCATGCTCTAGTTATCTCCCGCTTGGACTACTGCAATGCGTTCTACATGGGGCTACCTTTGAAGGTGACCCAGAAACTGCAATTAATCCAGAATGCGGCAGCTAGACTGGTGACTAGGACTGGCCACGAGGACCACATAACACCGGTCCTGAGAGATCTGCATTTGCTCCCAGTACGTTTCCGAGCACAATTCAAAGTGTTGGTGCAAACCTTTAAAGCCCTAAATGGCCTCAGTCCTGTATACCTGAAGGAGCGTCTCCACCCCCATCGTTCAGCCCCACTGAGATCCAGCGCTGAGGGCCTTCTGGCGGTTCCCTCATTGCGAGAAGTGAGGTTACAGGGAACCAGACAAAGGGCCTTCTCGGTAGTGGCGCCCACCCTGTGGAACACCCTCCCTTCAGATGTGAAGGAAATAAGCAGCTATCCTATCTTTAAAAGACATCTGAAGGCAGCCCTGTTCAGGGAAGTTTTAATGCTATACTGTTTTTAACATTTGATTGGGAGCCACCCAGACTGGCTGGGGAAACTCAGCCAGATGGGCAGGGTATAAATAATATATTATTATTATTATTATTATTAAACAGGAGCAGAGGCAATGGTGTCGACAACCCACCCACTATTTTTGCCTTCTCCACAATGCCCAGTGCCATGCCAGAGCTTTGGGTTGGGGGGAGGTGTGAAAGTTGCCACAAAAATAGGGTGAAGAATATTCAGAGGAAATTTTTTTTGGGGGGTGCCTTCCTTTTCTGCCAGGAGTTGAGGGGGGGGGGAAAAGGGCGGGGGATCTCGAAAATTTCTCTCAGAAAAAAGTGTCCTAAGGAATTTTAGCTTAGCTCCTGCTAAGTGCTCTTGCATAGCATGCAGCCCTGCTGGCTAATAGCATTAGAAGCATAACAGCCATGGGCTTTCAGCTTCTTTTCAGATTTTAAATGTATGAATTTTGCTTTTCAAAAAGATCCCCAAACATGCATGCCTCCCTTTGCATTTTTATATAATGGAAACATTTCAGAACATGTTAGAAAACATTCTGGGTGAAGAATGGTTTTCAAAACAGTTATCAGCAACAACTCTTTGTGATTTGACAGCATGGAAAACATTGCTGTCCCCGGTTATTTTAATCTAAACAGGAATCCTGATCAACACTGCAGATGAAGAATTCTTATCTCAGAAATACTCACTTATTTCCCAATTACCACCCACAAGAATATCCGATGAGCAACAGATATAAACGGAAGTCTACAATATTATTTGTTCTATTATACCTGGGAGCACAGCATGAAAAATTGGACTTGAGCACTAACAAAAAGGAGCGCAGCCCGACTCTCTCGTAACTAATGATTAACTACATTCTTGCCCAATGTCGACTTCCAAGCGAGGTTTGCAGTTCATGGCAATATAAGGGTATTTACAAGGCAAGATCTGAATAATCTAGCTGGTGGTGTGTGTGTGTGTGTGTGTGTGTGTGTGAGAGAGAGAGAGAGAGAGAGAGAGAGAGAGAGAGGTTGGAGGCAGAGTGCACAAATTAGGACTGGTTCACACATTACAGTTGCCATGGGAATGCTGTCAAAAATGGCTACCCAGTGATGCTCACTCGCTATTTGGCTCATAAGGTTTCAAGCATTGACTACACAACAGCCACATAATATTTGCAAAAGTGGCCCTCTATGCCCACAGTAACCACCTTTGTCTGGCACAGTGTGCTGGCTAATACTGGGCACTATGAAAAGGTAGCAAATGGTTAGTTATTTAATTTATTGTTGTTCCATTTTTCTTCCCAGAGTAGAGGAGAGTCTTTCTGGGTGTTTTTTATATGTAAGATGCTAAAATAACTTTACTGGCCTTAGGTACTATGGGGAGATGCCATTTTCTGCTGTCCCTCAGGCAATAACTTGAGTGGGCCCCAACTGTGGGGGCAGTGAATACCCAGAGTGTAGTGGGGGGGTCACATTGTATGACAAATACTTCCAAACGTTAGTGACCAGCTGGAATTTGCTTGCCAAAACAGTATTTTTTCTAGGGTTATCCCCCATCCTAACCATATCCCCTGCTTTGGGACATGAATGTTCATTGCATAGTGCATAATAGCAGCTATGGCACCTGATCAATATTTTGTACCCATTAAGGTACCAATAAGCCCTAAAATAATTAGTTTGAACATCTCAAGGTGATACAAAGCGCACGGTGACACAGAAATATTTTGAAGATGGGCTATTAAAGAATGCACAGAATAAGCATTCATTGCTAAGAAGGTGGGTTGCAACAGTGGCAATAGATACTTGCTAAATATTTTTCTGCTTGCATACTTTAAAAAAAAATACTCTGACACAATATGGAATAGTAAGCTGTTGTAGTTCAATCTAGCTCAGTATTGCTGACATCGGTGTTTCCCAAGCTAAAGTCCCCTGCTGTTGTTGGACTACCACTCCCATCATCCTTAGCTAGCAGGACCAGTGGTCAGGGATGGATGATGGGAGTTGTAGTCCAACAACAGCAGGGGACCCAAGTTTGTGAGACACTGGCTACACTGACTGACAGTGGCTCCCCAGGGTTTCAGGGCAAAATGTTCCCCACTGCTAGTACATAGAACTATAGCTTTCTTATAACAAATACAATTTACATGTGAAATTGTGCACTACAAATATAAAAGAGACACTGTTCTTGCAATGTAACGGAACAGATATGAGTACTGATTTTAAGCTTGTATTTTGTTTTCCAAAAAAAGAAAACCACAATTCTTTCACAAATTTAGCATTTTGTTGCTTTATTAATGCCTCTCTTTAACTGGATCCAGAAAAAGGTGACTATACCAGGACGTGACCACCATACATACATTATAGTCTGCTGGTGTTAAGCCACATTTCCAATATGTTGTACCATTTGCTTCTCCACCTTTCAGCAAATGCAGTCCCCAACCATAACAAGATACACCTAGAAGAACGTCTTCTTTGATACAACCCATTAAAGGTACAGAAATGCTGCCCTATGTCATCATACCTATACAGACAAAACCTCAGCAATGACATCAAATGCACCTCTTCTTCTTCTTTTTTGCAAAGCAAATGTTTATGCAAAACCCTCTCCACTTCTATGTTTATGCAAAATTTCTTGGATCCCTATACCTGCTTTTAGCTTCCTTGTTTTCTATTCACACTTCAGTTGTGCATAACAACACTCTCAAAGTGCAGTAAGATGGAAAATTGGTTTCTACTTAATACAGAGGATTTTCAGCTGGGTGGTTCTACCATTTCGTATATACTAACAATGTAGTATTTGCAGTCTACTCAGAAGTTGTAGCTGCAATCTAGAGCAGTGTTTCCCAACCTTGGGCCTCCAGCTGTTTTTGGACTACAACTCCCATTATCCCTAGCTACCAAGACCAGTGGTCAGGGATGATGGGAATTGTAGTTCAAAAACAGCTGGAGGCCCAAGGTTGGGAAACACTGATCTAGAGTGTTCAACGGAACTTACTCCTAACTGGTTTACAGCTGAGGCTCAAGCATCACCGTGCATGCACACAAAAATGCCTCTTAATATGGTCCAAGTCTTCATTTCTGATTCTCTGGAATCAGATGGTAAGAACAATCACATGAGAGAAAAACCCTTTGAACTTAGCGGGACATACTTCTGAATAAACATGTTTAGGGTCACATTTCACAGCTCTCTTCTCAAGCATCCCTGAAACTACAGCTGAGTCAAACCACTCACGTCTTTAACTGCACAATGGAAATCTGAAAGGAATGAATCGGGAACTTGTACAACTCTTCTAGACAAATCCCAATGAATTAGGAATATTTAGGATTGCAGCCTTAGGGAAGTAAAATACAGACGTATCAACCACATCGTTCGAACACTGAGATCTATTTTCTGCATCGGTTTAAAATTCATCTACTTACCCTTCTGCGCAGAGCAACATATCCATAGCAGAAGCAGAGCAGTATAGCTCAGCAAATGTGGCATCGTTACCGAGCCTTGCAAAGGGTTGACACCCTTTGCAAACGGATTCTGCCTGGTTGCCTCTTAGTCTCTGCTACATCCACTTAGCCTCTCCTGATTGTGCCAAGGAATGACCTTGCTTAAGCTTTTTCTTCTCACTTCGCCAATCACTTCCCCCTCTAACCCTGTTGCAACATGCACACAATCAGCCTTTTCTTTTGGCAGAGAATTATGCAAACGAAGTAGAAAATACTTCCCCAATTTCTCAACTGCCTCTGTCCTTCCTGCTCTGTTTGCTTTCACTCTTTCACGCTTCACATATGTGGCTATTTTCATTGGGAATTTCCCAGAAAACTCAAACAGAGTTGCACTGGGCTACAAGCTGCCTAAAGGATTCCAGATTTCACAGAGGTTCCAGAATTTTACCATATGGGCTGCTAACATTTACATCTATTCCTCGCTCCCCACCAACACTAACCCCAAACATGGTTCATTACATCTTATTCAGTTCTTCTGAAAATATTATTGGGGGAGGGGACCTGTATCATTTACATAAGGTCAACAAGGTGCAGTGGTACCTCGGGTTAAGTACTTAATTCGTTCCGGAGGTCCGTTCTTAACCTGAAACTGTTCTTAACCTGAAGCACCACTTTAGCTAATGGGGCCTCCTGCTGCCGCTGTGCTGCCGGAGCACGATTTCTGTTCTCATCCTGAAGCAAAGTTCTTAACCAAAGGTACTATTTCTGGGTTAGCAGAGTCTGTAACCTGAAGCGTCTGTAACCTGAAGCGTATGTAACCCGAGGTACCACTGTATTGGGTGCTGCACGTTAACGTACGGTACTTATTTATTTGAAACATTTCAACCCAAGGCAGCTGGCTGCAAGGATAAAAACGTGTATTTACAATTTAAAATGAAGTAACAATCTAAAATAAATCTTAAAGTATAACACTAAAACAGTAAAGGAGCAGCAGAAAATTACAGAAGACACCAGGTAGGAATGGGTAAATCTGTCAGTCTTTCAGTTTATCATTTCCCCACAAAAGTTCAGTTCTCCACATTTCCATATCAGTTTGCAACTTTTCTTTTTAAAAGCCCTCAGAAAGTTCATCAGAATGTTAGTGTGGATTTATTCCCCCCCCCATGATTTCCCCCCTAACATACATTTTTTTTGTGAAGCAGTTTTCCCTAATAAAATGTATTTTATATGCTATTTTCACTAATATATGAATCTTATGTACATTTTACACCAGTATATGCATTGTGTGCACACATGACCTGAATGGGCAATTGATTGCAAAATTCAGGGAGTGGTCTCAATACGTGGGAGAACAAAGTAGAGACATTTGCAATAGAAAAGGAAGGCTAGTAGCAGCACAGATGGGCCTGCTTTTATGGATGAAATATAATGGAAGTTAAATGTCTTTGGAAGAATTGGGTGCAATTCCACCTCTGACAGCATTTGGATGTAACATTAAAGGATGGTTTCAGTGCAATGATAAACTATAAGATGATGCAAGCCTCAGTATAGCACACACAGCCATGCAGAATGTCTGTGAGGATGAAATCAGCAGCTTTTGTTTGCATTTTACTGACAGCAGTGTAGTGTTACATTTGAACTCAGACAAACTGTGGTTAGTTAGAACTATGGTTTACTAAAACAAGCCGATTTCAAACCATGGTTTATGAAGCTGGCTTGTTTCAGGAAACTTAATATTAACCACAGTTTTTTGGGGGGTTCAGATGTAATACTAAATTGGGGATAATTGAAAATAAAATTGTTGCCTAGGCTCATACCTGTAACTAAAACATTGTTCCCAAACACCTTTAAAAGTAACTGCTTTAAAGCAATCTAAACAAATCAATGGTGTAGGCTTCCTTGGAAAAATACAGTGAAGCATAATCTCAAGGAAGTGTGCACAAGATTGCAGCAACTACCTATTGCTAAGTGTGCTTATTCATAAGTGAATTCTTCAGAATTCATTAGGACTTATTTCCTGGCCATCGAACTTAACATTTAAGTCTTAGAGTCAAATGTTGCCCTTTGTTTCAGGCAGCAAAATGAACATCCTTGTGCTTTCAATTCTGCATGAAGGAACCCTGCACACACAGGGATGCACAAAAGGCCTCTAGAAGTTATTTATTTAATTTTAAATTTATTTATTTTTTAAAAAAGGAAGCATCATTTTCAAGACAAGCCTTCGTCATTCACAAGCCGGGTGAAACTGGAGCTATGTCTGATGATCTGAAAATGCTGATAATCTTTACCTGGACTTTATTTTAACCCATGGGCAACTACTCATTCTGCGTGCCTATTTTATGGTTTCGTATTTCATCTTCCAATTTTTGTCTGTTATAATCATTCTGTTTTATATACATTATAAAATGAAATAATAACTTTTAACCCCCCCCCAATTCTGCCACCATCATGAGATGTTCTATATTTTCAGAATAGTAGATTTGGTGTACAAAAGCAAGGCTCAGGATCACTCTTCTAATGAGAGGATTGAAAATTATCTGCTTCCCCCAAAATATTCCTACCATCTCTGTATGATTCTTTTGGGGGAAGAGAGATGCAAAGGTATAATACACCTCAATGAGAACAAATGAGAAAAAGTAGTCATTCTGTTTGGTTTTTTTAAAGACCTCTTAACAGCAACCCAGTCTTGAATAAGTTTACCCAAAGTTTGAGATCCATTAAACTGAATGGGTGCACTGGATTGAAGTCTTAGAAGCTGAAATATCCCATTCTTTCCCCTTTGGAGTTTTTGAGTCTTCTGCCCTCTTACTCTGTTCTTTGCTCTCTCCTCACTTTTCATCAATATCCAGCCCCTCATTCCAGCTGGCTTTATGGTTAAAGCCTCCTCTAAACTTTGGCCAGCTGAAATTAAGTTTATCGTTAGTTTTGGCCTAAGAATTATCCAAGGGAGTTCCTTCTCGGAACATAAAAACAAACAGTCCTTCTGCAATGTTTGCTAACTAGACATGTCAGCATGGTAGGGAGGCAGAAGATCAGACAGAGATTTGTGGTACCATAAATGGCTGGGGAAATGGCTTTCTTAACTGTTTTTTTACTTCCTTTAGTATGTTACTGTTGTTACAATGAAGATTTTCTAAACCCAGGTGTATTTCTTTAACAATAGGTAAAGGTAGAAATTTTAAGCCTAGAGTTTTCTGTTTAAATGTTTTGAGAAACCTGATGTTTGCACAGATCAACAGAGTAAAAGAAAAACTTTAAAAAGGGGAAGAGAAAGAATAGCAGTCCATTTTAAGTTAATAGATATGCAACTATGTAATTAGGTGTGTAGTCTGATCACCATTTAGCTTCACTTGGAAGCTAAACAAGTGAAAACATCAGATCATGAGACTGAGGTTGCATATATATATATATATATATATATATATATATATATTTGCTTTCGTAGATTTTCACGGGTACAGGAATGCAGGTTTTGGTGTCCTCGGGTGTCTTCCCGTGTAAAAGTTGGGGTGTCTAGGCGACGTTTCGACGAGGTCTCACTCGTCATCTTCAGGCTGGTGCTTTCGGCTTCTTGTTACTGGAACAGAGCAGGATCTCAGTGTTTGAGTTCCTATAAATACTGTTGAGGGGGTGTGGTGTATAGCCTCCAATGTTCTGGGCAGAGAGGAAGTTCCCAGGCTAGTGTGCCTTTTCTTCTTTTGTTCCTTAATTACTTGAGGGATATCTTGAGTGATTTCTTGAGTGATATCCTGAGTACCACTTAGGTGGGTCATTAGGTGTGGATTAGTTGCTAAAGCCTTCGTGTCTTGACCTCTTGAACTTTGTGAAGAGTTTTTCTGAGAAGATGGCTGTATTGCATTTAGTTGTGCTCTGGCTTGGCTTCGTGTATAGGGGCGAGCTGTGGTTTTGTGTCCTGTGCCAGCCAGATCTGTGTAGGGATTGCAGGGGGGTGCAGCATCCGGAGGTGCCACCATGGTTTGGCTACTGGATGGTGTCTGTAATTTATCTGTGGAGAGGGTCTGGGTTTGGGTCTGGTGTGGTTGATTGGTGATGGCGTTCTGTGTGCCTCTGGATCTGGTGTCGGTTTTTGTGGGGAGGGCTAATTTCCAGATGTCTGGCAGGCGGGATGTGTCGTCACGCTTGTTCATGTTGTGAGGGTGTTTCTCTATCTCGATGGCTTCCATGATTATTCTCTTGTGGTGATGTTCCATGTTAGAGAGCAATTTGGAATCTGCAAAATTAATTTCGTGTCCTGTTTCTTTCATGTGTTGGAAAAGAGAGGAAGTTTTTTCTTCTTTTTTGACGGCATTCTTGTGTTCTGCGATACGTGCATTTATTCGTCTGTTTGTTTGTCCAATGTACGTGGCTGGGCAGACTTTGCAGGGTATTTCATAGACCCCTTGGTTTTCCAACTGGATTTTATCCTTGGGGTTTCTGAGGATATTGGCTATTTTTTGGTTGGTGCAAAAGGCTGTTTTGATATTGTGTTTATGGAGGATTTTGCTAATTTTATCTGTAGTGCCCTTGATATAAGGAAGGATTTCTTATATCTGTAGTGCCCTTCCTTATATCAAGGGCACTACAGATAAAATTAGCAAAATCCTCCATAAACACAATATCAAAACAGCCTTTTGCACCAACCAAAAAATAGCCAATATCCTCAGAAACCCCAAGGATAAAATCCAGTTGGAAAACCAAGGGGTCTATGAAATACCCTGCAAAGTCTGCCCAGCCACGTACATTGGACAAACAAACAGACGAATAAATGCACGTATCGCAGAACACAAGAATGCCGTCAAAAAAGAAGAAAAAACTTCCTCTCTTTTCCAACACATGAAAGAAACAGGACACGAAATTAATTTTGCAGATTCCAAATTGCTCTCTAACATGGAACATCACCACAAGAGAATAATCATGGAAGCCATCGAGATAGAGAAACACCCTCACAACATGAACAAGCGTGACGACACATCCCGCCTGCCAGACATCTGGAAATTAGCCCTCCCCACAAAAACCGACACCAGATCCAGAGGCACACAGAACGCCATCACCAATCAACCACACCAGACCCAAACCCAGACCCTCTCCACAGATAAATTACAGACACCATCCAGTAGCCAAACCATGGTGGCACCTCCGGATGCTGCACCCCCCTGCAATCCCTACACAGATCTGGCTGGCACAGGACACAAAACCACAGCTCGCCCCTATACACGAAGCCAAGCCAGAGCACAACTAAATGCAATACAG